AATTTTCTTTTGACATGGCCCTAATAGGCTTCCGTACTTACGTGGTCCAGGATCTGCGTATGGCTATAAAATTACATAGAAATGTAGAATATTAAATTTCCTATCCGTTGGTATAAATATAAGTGCACCTACCTCGGCGGTTTGAGAAATAGACACTGTTAAATGTTGTCCAAATTTTTGTTATGCGTTAAAAAGCAGTAAATATCTCCGCTTTTGATTGTGTATTGATGAAAGCACTGTGCTACGATTTTTTTAATTTGGCATCGTTACGGAAAGTGTGAGAGAAGAAAATACAGCCTGATATATGAACGACATAAGTATATATGAAATGGGTTTGTGTGCTTATGCATAACGTTAAACGCTCAATCTTAAAAATGACACGCAATAAATGTCGAAAATGGATTTTGTTCTATGACGTCAAACGACGACAGAGAGGCCATACACGTATGAAGATAAGGGGTCATAACTCCGACATGCTTAACACTAGGTCAATGTTACTCAGAATACTTGAAGAGAATTTGTTGTAGATATGGACGCTATATTTTCGTTATGGTTTGTTCACCATGAACCAAACTATACTAAAACAAAGTTCAACAATGTGAGCGGATATGTTTTGGTAGTTGCACAATTCATAAGAAAAGATGACAAAGCACTACATGAGAAAGCACGTAATAGCGATTTGGATGGCCCTATCTGATATATAATTTAGTTCTTAGATTCCCATATTCTCCTGTTAGTGTAGATGTATTTTGACTAATTTTGCATCATTATTAATAGAGTACTAGCCATATCTGCAAATGTAATGAAATTACTGAAAATAATACCACTGGATGCGGAAGTATTTTGTGACGCAGTTTCATAGGATCTGAAAGGTGAACGTTGCATTGGATCTACGGTCATCCGACTATTGCATTATGTTCAGATGTAGAATACATTTAGATCTGCTGACACATGTCTAAAGGTACGAGATTTTGTATACAACTCTAACATTGCCAATTTCCTATTAAAAGTATGTTCAAACCAACTAATTATCAAATCCCACCCTGGCTATGTGAGAGACCTGTTTTGACAGAATCTGGCTAAGTGAGAGGACACTGTCAAAAAAGGTCTCTCACGAAGCCACCGTCCTCTCCCTTAGCCAGATTCTGTCAAAACAGGTCTCTCACATAGCCAGAGTGGCATTTGGCTGACTGGGGTTAGTGTTTTGATAACACCTGGTCAAGATGAGCTTAAGTTTGTTTCAACAAATTGCCCATTTAGTGAGATTAGTGAAATTTGTATTAAAGTGAGATATTTGTACATTGATATGGTATTATTTGAACTTTTTGGAGGATTTTGAGGAAATGCTCAGTTCGTGACATTAGTCACATTTGTATTTAAGTGAGAAACATTGATATGGTATAATTTGAATTCTTTTGGAGTATTTCAGGAAATGCTCAATTGTAGATATAGACTATAGCCCTTGAACAAAGGCTTATGCTTCAGTGGCTAATGCTAATTACCTGGCTCGCATCTCTCATCTAGCCATAGTGCAATGTTGTCTTAACAAGACCTTTTTGGTCAGACTCGGGCTAAGTGAGAGTGAACCGAGAGGACACCCTCTCTGCCCCTTGTCAAATATAGAATGTTGAACGTACACAGTTAATTCACCCTAGACAACGGCTAATCCGTCATTCCTCGCAGTTCATTGGTTATCTCTGCCTAACAGCTAATTACATACGTATATTCATATGAATATTACTAAATTCAGAAAACTAACGCATTATGTGAATAGAAAGAAAAGAAAACATGCCACTTTGGATTCGTTACCATTTAGATGAATGATAAGTGATATTTAATTACTGAGGTAAGATCAAAAAGTGTTGGTTAAATTTCAAATGACTTTCCGAATTATAATATTTAATATGATTTTAATTGTAATAACATTATGTTTATATGATAAGCAACATTATGTCTATTGGCCATGGGTTTACAACATCTTAAAAGCATTTTGAAAAGGAAAAGAGGCAATTTGTGCAATTTGCCTTTAAAATGTTGAAACATTCACATGGCATTTGAATAAATATTGGGAAGTGAAAGAGCCATTTCAAATACAGAGTTAGCTGACACGAGTCATGGTCCAAGGACTACAATTATGTTTACTCACTCACTCACTCATTCCTGTATCACTCTTCCCCAAGAAGCCACTCTACTAGTCTGTCTCTACCCGTGAAGATCCGGGCTAGAACTGATATTCAGTGAGTGAGTGTCAACCAAGTCAGCGAGCCTGACAACCCGATCCCGTTGGTCGCCTCTTACGACAAGCATGGGTTACTGTTCAAAGATCAATATTCTAACCCGGACCTTCACGGGTTCATCTTCAGTAACCCATACTCATGCTGTTGATTATTAACAGACCGCCACAATATCGCTGTACTATTGCGTTAAGCAACAAACAAACTACATTCCCTGGATCATATAATTTTGGGGATTTTTATTGTATGTTCGAGGGACTGATATGATTTTGTTTGATATGGTGGCTGATTAGGGCTATCGCTTTCTCGCCTTAAACTTCAGAGGCAAGTGAGAAAGCGATATCACGAGACGAGAAAGCGATAACACGAGACGAGAAAGCGATAGCACGAGACCAGAAAGCGATAACGCGAGACGAAAAGCGATAGCACGAGACGAGAAAGCGATAACGCGAGACGAGAAAGCGATAGATAACACCAGACGAGAAAGCGATAACACCAGACGAAAAAGCGATAACACGAGACGAGAATGCGATAGCACGAGACGAGAAAGCGATAACGCGAGACGAGAAAGCGATAGCACGAGACGAGAAAGCGATAACGCGAGACGAGAAAGCGATCGATAACACAAGACGAGAAAGCGATACCATCATGTGCACGCGAGAAAGCGATAGAGCGAGAAAGCGATATACCAAGGCGAGAAAGCGATAGAGCGAGAAAGCGATAGAGCGAAAAAGCATATACCAAGGCAATCTGAAACCCTGCTTAAACATTAAACCTAACCCTAACCACTTGAAATAATCTTAATAAAAAGAATACATTTCAAGCGGGGGTTACAGGCGGAACCCTAACCCTTGTGGATACTGGAAAAAGATATTTGGATTTTGACATTTATTTTGTAGCTCTTGGGATCATTTCCGAAGGTTAGTCTCTGTCAGTACTTTTGTAGTTTGTACCAGGGAGACTATAAGGGGAGTGGTCACTCCTCGGAAAGCTCCTTAGCATATGCCTCGGCTCGTCACGTGACCAGTGTAGCCAATATGGCGGCAGCGTAGTTTTTAAGATTGAGCCCGGTTTATATTCAACAGCTGATTACATACGCTGAGTGTTGTGACAACTGAAAACCTACATGTAGAAGATAAGTTACCTATTCTGTCACTTCATTTTAAGTCAAATACTTGTTATTAGTGTCAGTATTAGTACAGTAGATTTGTAGTAAAGTTTCAAGTCGGCTTGTTGTAGCTCACTGGCTTCAATTCTCAGTACACAGCGAAGAAAGACTAAATTCTATCGCTAAAAACTTCTTTCACATATTCGTTTAATTTTTAGAAGGGAAATATACCTTTAGTTGAAAGATGTTTGCAAGTAATAGTGATACTAATAGTTTTATAACTAAAAAATGTTAGCGTGTATTTGAGGTGTGTGAAAAATATGACATATGGCCGATCTGCCATTGAAATACTACAGGGCGTTGTTTGAGTGTTTCTAGTTATTGTTCTAAAACATCTTTCACATACACCTTTAATTTTTATGAGGGGAATATACCATCAGGTGAAAGGTGTTTGCAAGTACATGTAATAGTGATAGTTTTATAACTTAAAATTTCTTATGTATTTCTTTTTTTGTTCTTTATTTCTTTCATTCATTCACATATAATTCTTGCTGTTAATTCATTCATTCATTGTAAAATTCGGACTGATACAATACACTGGCTGAAGTACTGTTAAACGCAGCCGAAGTTGCGCTGGGAAGGAACCAAGTCACTGTGTGCGTTGGAGCATGACGAGGCACACGCTAATTAGTACAAATGGTAAAGAAAGCAAGCGAGTGACCTATCCCTGTTGTAGAGTATCCCTGTTTGTACATATTCATGTGATGTGTACAGATATTGTATTAATGCTTTGATAATTTGGTTGCTTTGCCATATTGTAAATATTGAGTAGTTTATCAGCAAGGCGCGAGAAGTATGCAATTAATACCGTGAAAGATAATCTGTCACTCCCGTCACTCATTAGTTATTGTCTAAATATGCCATCAATGCAGTGTTGAGGCAATATAAATGAAAAGGGTTAGCAATTATGATATTTTGTAAATGGTTACATTTAAAGATGATATTAATTATTGATAATATCCTGCAGCATATATTTGTTTTGTCTAAAGAATGCTTTAATTGTTTCACTTTCAGGGGTTTAAAAGATTTGTCTGTTCATATCTTTAATTAGTTCCTGCTTCAGCGAGAATGATATATGTTTGCCACTATTTCCGGGTCAAACAATTCAATCGGTATTGCCGCGATCCTATTGAGCGAGTTGCGATTATGTGCCAAGAGAAATGAAGATAAAACAGCCCATTACTCAACTGAAAATATATATAATGTCAGTGAAAGTTCATAATCCCGATAACGACAATAGAGGGTCCCATGATGATGACTGTAATACATGTTGCACGAACTGGAAGGCGGCGCCACACAGTCTCAGTGCCAGTGCCACATTATGGCACGAGATAAAATAAACCTCATTATCAAAACATTCTCCACAGTTCTGACTGGATACACTCTTTCACTTCGAATCATATGGCGTTGTCTGTTTATGTGAAAATTACATATTTTCAGTAACAGAGCCTCGAACGATCTTCCTGGTTCAACAGCAGCCTTATCGGGCCACAATTATCATCAGAATATTATATCGTTCAATTGTGTCATGGACCATAATCTATAGAAAAATGCCTGGCTATTCCTTTGCTGGGATATCGGAGAAAAATTAGACTTACCAACAACAGAAACAACCGCTATCTTCTAAGATCAAATGCCTACCTCAAACATACAGGGTATCCCAAGTATTTTCGTACTTTTGCTTTCTATGAGTAACTTCCTCGTTCGTCGAGCACCTACAATGACAGTCACTTTGAGTAATACGCGAGATGCAACGAGGGTGTACAAGTCGATAAATTCAGTCCCACACCGTGTCATCTGAGAGGGTGTAAAATAGCGAAGACCCGCTATTTTACACCCTCTCAGACCCGCTATTTTACACCCTCTCCGACCAACTTCCTCCGGCGCTAAGCTAAAGCTGGTTCCCGGCTCCCTTTGCGCCGTATATTCTAAGATGCCTAGCGGTTAGAACAATCGAAAAAAAATACATTATCAGACATTCTACCATGGCTACGTGAAATGCTCGAATTTGATTGGCTAATCAATACAATCAGACGGTATCAATTTGGATTGAAAATGCGTCTGATTTCACGGCGCTTCACTGCGCACGTATACAACACTGCCGCACTACTTCAGCTTGGCCACCAACATGACTAATATCAACACAACAGACGTGATGGAAATGCTGATAAAACATTTATTAAAACTCGAAAAATACAATTATACGATTTCTCCTCCACAATTATGAGGGAACCTCACTATCATATTACCTTCTATTATAAAAATCACAGGGGCTTGTATTGCTGAAAATAATACGTCCTGGGTCCTACAAGCGTACACTGATATCCATATACATATAAAGAAGGAAAGGGATGTAACGCACACAAACTTGTCAGACACCCCCCTCTCGTAAATGGGCGAAATCTGGGTGGGAAATTGTGAAATACGCAGCCGGGATTCTTACTGAAAAAAAGCCAGATGAATTCCCTTTCGATTAAATCCAAAATTATCAAAATCGGTGCACTATTGACCGAGTAACTTTGCTTGGAACTCGTCGTTGGTGCGAGTCTATTGAAGGTGAAGGACAAACATGGTGGCCCCGATCACTCGATACCGCTAATTTTCCAATAAAGTCGTGTATGGCAGGTAAAATCAGTAACTCATTTCATTTGAGATGTTGTAATGCGAAAGTGGAATATCTAGCGATTACGAAAAGGTTATATCTCTTCGCCAATTGCGTGTTTTCCATTGAAATACATAGTATTTCTTCGCCGAGAGGCGATGATTTTCGTAGGCAGGTTTTTGGCGTACAAATGAAAAAGTTGTCTTTTCCCGAGTTCCAAGCAAAGTTACTCGGTCAATAGTGCACCGATTTTGATAATTAGGAGATAAACGTACTGTGCTTGGAAATTAGATGAATGTTAGACCGAATTGATAGTCTCTAAATTTCATTTGAAGCACCAAATGAAATTTAGAGACTATCAATCGGATCTAATGTTCAAAGCCTTCTGTCATCTAATTTGCCACAGCACATACGTTTATCTCCTAAATAAAGTATAGTTTTTGATGACGTAACAATTGAATGACGTTATCCCGTCACTGCGCCATTCTAGTGTGCCCCGTAATCGAACCATTTTACATTACGTCACAATGTAAGCGACGTCATTTTACATTACGTCACAATGTAAGCGGCGTCACGATGCATGTCAGTTGTCATCGCCTCGTACGGCCTCCTACAGTAAACTACACCGTTGCATCCAGTTTCTTGGTTTGCTGTTGCTTCACGCAGCTAACATCACTGGTGGAAACATTACGTTTATGTTTAAAGACGGTTAAAATGTGTCATTTCGACTCACAAGTTTTCAGCGACACGGTAACGTTCGCAATGTTTACATTCCCACAATGCAATCGTGGAATGTCGCTTGACTACTCAACTTCCATTGGATGTACTGATCTAAACTTACGATGGTAGTAGAAATGCAACGTTCATATTGCCCCATATGGTTTACGTTAATGACAGATGTAATTAAAATAATTCAGAGAAGATATTTAATCCGAACGTAAACCGTCATCAAACTGTTATCATTTGTTTTGGTAACGTTCGTCTTAACGTAGGGGGCAGACACATCAATAGAACAGCGCGCCAGTTAGCCCTGTGCGAGGATTCTTAATTTAGGTCACCGACACCGTCGTTTGTTTTCTGCCTTAAATTAATCGTAATTATCTTTAGAAAGTATTAAATTTGGCATCTTAGAAAAGAAATACACTTCGCCCTACCACCATGTATAGTGTAATAAAACACACTTTCGCCCTGAACTATTATAACGTTAAAGCCCTCGGACGCAATCGTCCTCGTGCTTTAACTATAATAGTTCAGGGCAAAAGTGTGTTTTATTACACTATACATGGTGGTAGAGCGAAGTGTATTTCTTAATATTGCGATATGCGAGACGGGGCCCAGCCATGACTTAAACATTCCGCATGGAGCTCTGGGTAGAGGTGACCGGGATTTTACCAAGCTCCTCACAGCGAAAGCCTCCAATTACACGCGCAGGAATGGAGTTTGCGCTCAAGCGTTTTGTGTATGTTAAAGTGCCTTTGTTGTCAACAAGTCAATGTTCAGAGTACAATGACTAACAAGGAAGGAAGAGAGAGAGAGGGGGCTAGGAGTGGTATATATTGAGTGGAAAGAGTGTGAATGTGTCCTGTATGTGAGATGAATGTTATGTCTGTTTTATTTTTGTATATAATTATATGCTACACAAAAGGTCTGCCATAAGCAAACCCATGTGGGTGGCCGATATAACAATAAAACAATATAATAATTATACAACATAAGTTGTATGTGCTTTAACAATACACAGTATCGGGTACACACTCTCTAGTAAGTCTATTCCTTAAAGATGCAAGTCTAGATAAGCGGACAGTACATCTAACGACGCCAATCTGTATTTATTTAGATTATAACTATTATAATCACTACCTTATAGACTTGTGAAAGTCTACGTCTACATTATCCCATGATTGGAGTTTTCGTTTGTTTGTGAATGCGTGTAGGATAAATACACAAAAGGACATTATCTTTTTACAGTTTAGTATATTTTCTAAATTAATTTATATGTGTTGAATCGGCGAACACAGACAGAAGAAAATCACATTAATAGACTCTGTGAGATGTGCAGGCTGTGTGAACTCTTTGAAAGACTGAGAATGGTTTTGCGCCGCTTTTAGCGGTATTCCATCAATATCACGTCGGGAGACGCCACAAATGGGCTTCACACATTGTACCCATGGTTAGGCCCCGTACGTCCAGGTATTTTAGAAATTATGTCTTTCACAGTTGAGACTGTTGATCTGCAGTCTTTCTGAATGCATCTCCACGAGATCCTTTCTCCCCTTTTCCTCTTGTTCACAATGAACATATAACCATTTACAGTAGGAAAAGTAGGAAGAAACTTGTTGTTTATGTGTGCATTTGTCATAATTAAAGTTGTGGTAATAATGATTTCAAACATTTCTATAGTATGGAAGTTTATGTAAAAAATTGAATAACACACTACTAATGACTGACTGACTGACTGAGTTTGGTTTTACGCCGCTCTAAGCAATATTCCAGCAACATTACGGCGTGGGACACCAGAAATGGGCTTCACACATTGTACCCATATGGGGATTCGAACCCGGGTCTTCGGCGTGACGAGCCAACGCTTTAACCACTAGGCTACCCCACCGCCCACACTACTAATGAAATGAATGAACTAACTGTTCATATAATCAAAGTAATTGAGTGAACTCACTTCCATGGATTCAAATGGTACAAGTGTTACTGACTACGTTTTAGCATCGACTAGAATTTTTGATAGCATACAAAGTTTTGATATACCTTCACGCGTTGAATCGTCTCATTTACCACTGACACTAGAATTACGTGCGCATCACTCTTGTGAATGTAAAAGTAATGAAACTAAGACTAATAAAGCATTTTTTGTCCCTAGAAATGAATACGTTAAAAGAATTTAGAAACAGTCTTCTAACTGGTGAGATACAGGGTATATTTCACAAATCTATGGATGTTGTTTTTGCAGATATCAACAAGAGTGTATATTTCATTGTAGATGCTCTGAGTTTAGCAGCTTCAGGTATAAAAAGGGGAGTTAATAGAAATAAATGATCTGATAGTGAATGTGACTATTTGAAAATGGAACGATGTAAATTATTAAATGTTTTCGAAAACAGAAAACAACTGAATCCCCCGAGAACTATCATACAGCTAGCAATAAGTACACTGAGACCAATAAACGGATGGAAAAAGAATATTTTGATAAAAAAAGTGAGGTGAGGTGAAATTGGGTTTAACGTCGTGCTTGAGAATATTTCGCTCATATGACGATGTGCATGCGTGTGTATGTGTATGTGTATGTGCGGCTGCTTGTACTAGCCCACTCAAGCTGGTTTTATAGTGCTAGCCCACTGAGATACCATGCCGCAGTTAAACACGAATGCCCCACTCAGACACATTATACTGACTCCGAGCCGACCAGTCCTTGGTGTACCCATTAATGCCGAGCGCCAGACAGGGACCAACAAGTACCAGATTATAGCGCCTTTTGGTATGGCGCGGTCGGGGATCGAACCCGCGACCTTCCGCTCTCCGGGCGGACGCTCTAACCACTACACCACGGAGGCGGTCTTAATGAAAAGAGCATATATGGAAACAAATTACATAAAATCATTTCACTAATATCACTAATTGAGCATTTCCTGAAATACTCTAAAAGAATTCAAATTATACCATATCAATGTTTCTCACTTAAAGGTCACATGCAACCAAAAAATCAAACATAATTAAAACACAATTATCACTTCTTCATGACATATAATATGCATTGCTGATTATGAAAAAACAAATAAACAATATTATAAGCGTATAATCGCAAATCAAAAGTGCAATATTTTGTACTTGGGTTAACCTCCCTCGAAACGAAGCAGCCGGATACCGAACCCAGTCAGAGCGGGTGGGTGTGCACTCAAGTGTAACGGCTGGTTCATTAGCAGATGCCGCCTTCACGGCTCATTGTGTGTGTATATATAGAGATGTTGGGTTTTGTAAATACATGCTCATTTTTTGTGTATAACATTTTGCAATCAACAGACATCATAACATGTCATGTGTTCAAGTATCACACCTGCCTGTCTGTGTAATTACATAATGTGA